TGTATGTAGCAGGGCTGTATGTAGCAGGGCTGTATGTAGCAGGGCTGTATGCAGCAGGGCTGTATGTAGCAGCAGGCTGTATGTAGCAGGGCTGTATGTAGCAGGGTGTATGTAGCAGGGCTGTATGTAGCAGGGCTGTATGTAGCAGGGCTCCTTGCCCAGCCTTTGAACCAGCTTTTCTCAGCGTGACTCCCGAGAGCTGGGAAGTGCCGCGGGAGGGCGAAGGGAAGTTTCAGCCTCGCTGCTGAGCAGACCTGCAGAAGTGCCTGCCTGCCTCAGGCTCCCCGGCAAAGCCCCAGGCAGAGCCACTGGGATCAGCATCCCCTCTTGGTGCCAACCCCCACTCTTTCGTGCTTATTTTGACTCTTTTGGGGAAGTTTGGGCACCTGTCTGTGTATCCCAGCTTCTCAGAACTCCCTCTGCCAACACCCTTGGAACCTTCAGCAGGTTCCAGCCCTGTTCCTGTCGTTAGAAACAGCTTAATAAGACAGTGGTCGAACCTCTTGTCAACAACCTCCCCTGGGGCAAATGATCAGCAGGTGAAGGAGACACTGTCCTACACAATCCCTTCAGAACAGGCTCCCTGCTGGTACCAGGAGATACTGACATTGACAGAGGAGAAAGCAGAGATCTCTGTTGTTTCTCTACACCTTTCACTTTTGAGACTCATTTTAATAAATTCTACCTCAGGTCTTTGGTTAAAAAGAGGTTGCAGAGGCCAAATGCTACTTGGTCTCCTAACACCTTGGCTGGGAAAAGAGGGGGCCTGGACACCAGAGAACCAGGAGCAGTTTGAGACTCATGTTTTGCCCTTGGAGAGGATGATTCAGGCCTTTCAGCAGAGAAGTGAGACCAAGCAGGGCTGGAAAGTGCAGCCATGACAATCATTTCCCATGAGGTGGTTACTACAAGAACCTTTCACTTAACACTGGGAAAGTTAAATATCTGCAAACTGGAGAATTTCAATGAACAGTGAATAATGTGGCCATGGTTAACATGCAGACTCATGTTTTCCAGTCAGGACAACCTAAAACATCCCTAGGAAAAGATCTCACATCATCATCCAGTCCCTAATTTTCATATTCCATTTAGAAGCCAATTGAAAGTGAAATTCCCTAATCAAATCTGGGAAAACCCATCTGCTATTTCTGCATTCATCAGGCATTTTCTATGACACACCATCTCTAAAAGTCAAGTATCAACCTAGAATAGACACTGGACCACATGGGACCTCAGGGCAAGGAGAGGCTGCACAGGGAATCCCAGGGCAGGTCACAAAACCTTCTCCCACAGCAGCTCAAGAAGGACAGAGATTTACTTGAGGGAGTCCCATAGAAGCTATGAGGGTGATTAAGAGCCTGGGACACCTGTCTGATGTCTTACCAAGGCTGAGACACTTGGGACTGTTCAGTCTAGAGAAGACTGAGAGGGGGTCTTACAAATGTATTTAAACATCTGAAGGGTGTGAAGAAGAAAGGGCCATTCTCTTTTCAGTGGTGCCCTGTGATAGGACGAGGGGCAACAGACGCAGACTGAAACACAGGAAGTTCCACCTCAATATGAGTAGAAACCTCTTTCCTGTGAGGGTGACAGAGCCCTGGGACAGGCTGCCCAGAGAGGCTGTGGAGTCTCCTTCTCTGGAGACATTCCAGACCCCTCTGGATGCCCTTCTGAGTGACCTGCCCCAGATTCTGTTATGGTCCTGCTCTGGCAGGGGGTTGGACTTGATGATCTCCAGGGGTCCCTTCCAACCCCTGACACTCTGTGACTGTGACACTGCCAGACACAGCTGGCACTAATGCTGATCTTTAGCAATTCCCTTTTTTTGGTGGCCAGAAAGAGCTCCTCACTGAGAGCTCCCTCAGTGACACATTAAACTTACAATATTAGTTGCCATCCATCCTGGAACAAATCAGATTTATTTACTTTTGTTGTTGCTGTTCTTTATAGCTGCATTATCTTAGAGTTATCTGAGCCCTGGCTCTGCAATCCCTCTGGTGATTTTGCTCTTCAGATACAGGTTATCTAGAAGGGAACTCCCTCAAGTGTTTGTTCTTTGCTGATGGTGCTGGGGAGAACCCAGCCCCTCAGGGGCATGCCAGGGTCCCACCCTGCACCCCAGCCCTTGCAGCACAATGTGCCCCTGTCCCCTCAGCCCTTCTCCACACTCACACATGCACATGACACAAAGTGCCTGAAAACCTTCCTTAATTGCTCAGAAGGACCCAAGTGTCACTAAAGCCATGAACATTTCCCTCAGGGATGAGAGGCTGCAGCTGGCAGTGAAGGTTCTCAGTGCTGCCACAAAAACTGGTCACACCAGGGTAAGATCCAGCCTTCACACTTGCTAGCTATGACAAAAAAAAAGCTTTTGTTTTCTTTTCAGGTCCAAGAGAAGATATTTGCCATGGAAGTGCAGGCAGGGTGGCAAGGCTGGTCCCACGTCCCTGCCCAACTCACACTGTGGAGACACAACTGATGAAGTCCCAGGGGCTCCATCTTCAGCTGATGTTGGCTCCAGAATCTTTAAACTGCAAAAATTTACAGCAATATAAGATGTAGTCTCATCCGATGGGAAACAATCAGTTTCATGGCTGTTACTACAAGCAGAATAATCTCCTCAGATATGAGTATCTTTCTCTGGAATCTCGTCCACCAGGTCTCTGCCCTTGCAGTGCTGCTACCAAGTCAGAGGCTCTAGGAAGTTTACCAGCACACTAATCATAAATGCTCCTCAGATCAGATATGCTGCTAATTCGACTGCTCAAGTTGTTCTCTCTTTCTTATTTTGATGATTTATGATTGAGATAAGATAGTAATCTCATCCTGCACTTACTCAGCTTCTCTATATAAGTGAGCTTAGTATCTGGCAGGAGAGATGAGCTTGAATTCAAGGCACCTTTCAGATAAAAAGAGTCAAGCTCCCAACTATATCGCCTTTAAAATGTATCTTCACTTGTTCCTGTTCCTATTTAGCTCTGGGACATCCAGTTACTCTCTTCCTCTGAAGGAAACACCAGATCTGCAGAACACAACTAGACGTGCAATAATTGATGAGATGATTTGCTTACTTGAAGCTGAAAAGGAGTCCATAAATGTAACTAATTTTTCACTTCCCCCACCCCAGAGATGCTGTTTGAGATGATTTTCAATGTGTAACTAATGGGTTTATATTGTTTTCAGGGGAATCTCTTCATCCCTCTTCACATCAAGGTAAGAACCTGTTGTTTTCTGTTCTATTTCTATCAGTCAGAGCCACCCAAGGAAATTTCTCTGGTCTCCAAATGACTGGCAATAGAAGGAAAAATGGTCAAAGCAGCTCTGTAAGTGTCCTGCTTCCAAGGCAAACAAACAAACAAAAATCACCCTCTGATTTAGATGGGATTGAATCAAATTCCCAATGTTGTCACGTTCACCACTGACAGAAACTGGACCATTTTTATTGCAAAGTTTCCAGTTATACTAGTTCTGAAGACTGTACTTGTAACATAAATAAGGTATACAAAGGAAATCAGATAAAAGAAGATTTCCAGAGAAAAATAAGTTAACATATTCAGGATGACTTAGCAATCTTTCAGAAAAAACAGCTTTCTGCCTATAAACTAGAAGCCTGCTGAATTTCCTTTTTTCTCCTAGAACAAAAATTGTGCATATAACACCACCCAAACATTTATTAATGAACTAGAGAAGATCCCTGGATGTAAGTGCATGAAGATAGTTGAAAAAGACATGAAAAAGCTTGAAGAAAAATGTGACTTTTTGAAGGTAAACTTTGTCTATTTGATTTGCATTTCAAATATTTTTCTTGCAGCTATTTATCCAGGTTTTTACACCTGGTGATTTTGTTGACCTGCCTGGTAACTCATTCAGACTATGCTGAGCAATCCAGCACCTTAATTTTTGCATAGGATGGAGAATTAAGGTGTAATTTCTTAATTGATATGCTGAAAAAATGCCAGGACCTGCCTTTATGATTTAAAAGAAACTACCAAGCTTCCCTGTAAGTTCATTTTCCCTTGAAGGAATTAAAGAAACAGCAGTGGAAGTTGCTCATGAAGGCTTCACCTGTCACTTAACTTCTTGCTTGCTTTTTGGTAAATTCTAATTCAAAGTTTTCAGCTTCTTTAGCCAAATTGTTCCTCCTTTTTAATTCTGGAGCAGCTGCAGCCTCAAGAAAGGCTCTCGAGGTTTGCCAGGCAGAAATTCAGTCTCATATGGACTATATATTAATATAATGCATTTAGACTTGCAGTAATGAAGATTATTTATTAGGGCAATTAGTAATGACCTGCACAGTTTGTCCTTCAGAAAGAACAGGACAACTACCAGCAGGAAAGGGGCAGACCAGGAATACTACAGAGAAAGGAACCTGCCTTTTGGGTACTAAAGAGAAAGACAGAGAAAAGAAGGGAATAGAAAAGGGTTTGTGTGTGTTCTGCTTGTGGCTGTACCTGCAGCAATGACTGTGCTTAGACATTTCCCAGGAACAGAGAAGCAGGATTAGGAGGAAAACCAGATCTGCACCAATTTGCTAATTACTGTGGGCTGCAGAAGAGACCTTCTCACCCTATCACTGATCAAACACAGGCTGAGCTCCCTGCAGCCACATCCTCTTCTGCCCAGTGCAAGGAAGGAGCCTGGTGGCTGCTACTGGGATCCCCCCTGCTCCCCCCACTCTCAGCCATTTGGATATTATGAGAGAAACATTTTGGCTTGGTTCCCCTTCTTTCAGTTTGGTAGATAACTCCCCTGCCCCTAGAAAACATCCCAGAACAACCTGCAGTACCATGCAAGTCAAAGACAACTCAGATGGGCTGGTTTGACTCATGATTTGTAAGACTAATGGTTTGGGGCTGGTGGGGCACAGCCAGCAGCTTCATCCTTCATCCCAGAGAGCTGAGGAAGCCATGTGTAGCATTTGGGTGGGATTCCTCTAATTGGTGCATCAGTATCTCCTCTTGCCCTTCAGAAATCTTCATCCAATGACAAAGAATGCCGGCACGTAAGAAGTAGTTTCTCGAGATTTAAAGAGTATCTGGAAAAATTCCTGAGATGGGTCAATCAGGAGGAGAGCTGCAGAAACATCCTGACAAGTGAGTCAGGTTCGCATCCAGATGACAACTGCACCTGCCTTGACTTCTGGAAATACAGCAAAGGCTTGTTCTAGGGGAGAGCCATGGGAAGCCAGGAGGCTGGGGGCGAGGGGGGAGAAATGGCTGCTACAAACCAGCATCTTTGCTAAGTGCTGATGCAGGCAGGGGAATTAAAACTGCACACAGCCATTAAAACTGTACCCAGCCATTAAAACTGTACCCAGCCATTAAAACTCTGAAACAAGCACAGCCAAGTATTGTCGTTTGTGCCACGCACGGGTCCGGAACACGGGACGTCTCCGTGTCAGCGCAGAGATGCAGGCAGGCTGGGGAGGCTGTGGGGCTTTGCACAGAGGGACAGGAACCCCAGCCCTGACCCACAAACCACAAGACCATCCCCTCTTCAGGGACTGGCCCATCCACAGGTGGGTGCTGCTGGCTTGCTTGAGGGTTGGGACATTCCCTGGGGATTTCAAGGAGCCAGCACAACCCTGCAGAGCAACCTCTGGGATGAGACCTGACCCCCACTGCTCCCACCATCTACTTTAACCCCCTAGCACTAAAATCCTGGCTTTTAATTTCTACTAGTTTACAATGAGCTTTTAACATGACCCTGACCAAAAAAACCTTGAGGTTTCATGTGCCCATCACTTTGGTCACAGCATCTTCTCCCAAATAGCTTTTGTTTTGATTTTTTCTCAGGCTTTTTCAGCATACAGCATTCACCCAGTTTGTGACCAAATCCAAACCAGTGCTGAATCACATGCTTTAAAAAAGCTAGAGCACAGGGCTCCTTGCAATGAGCCCTCACAGAACTCTGTGTAAACCGGTACAAACCAGGGGCCAGAGGCTGCATTTCTAGTGGGTGTTTGTATCTTTGCAAAACAGTCAAGTCTCAGGCAGAGGCAGAAAAAGGAAGAAGTTTTTTAAAATGACTATCATGAACAGGTGGTTAAGAGCAATTCTGGTCCCAGCAATACCAGCACCCCCAGCCTGCAGTAACAATACCCAGGTCCAAGAGTTCAGGGCTGATGGGTTTCCTAAGGGCTCCTTTCCTGGTGCCTGTTTCCACGTGTACAGGCAGCAGGGAAGCAGTGGGATTCTCAGGCACCCCAGGTTTCATGGGGTTTGTCCTCGAGACTTGGAGAAGGTGGGGGAACCCAGACTGCTGCCTTCTCTAAACACAGAAACTGTGCCCAGAGAGCCATGGAAGTGAGCCCAGAGACAGCTGTCATGCACCACCATCAATCTTGCTGCTATCACCTAGAAATCTGTAGCTCTTCTGAGCCCAGCAAAAGGCTGAGACAGGAATTTGCAGCTACTGTGATAAAACACAACAGGGTCATCAAGAGGTCTTCTGACTCAGAAACATCACAGCTCCCTGTTTGCAAGATAAAGCTTCATCCTGGTGCTTTCACCTTTGCTGCTGCTGAGCACACTTGGCCACCCTGGTGCTCACAGCTCACCTCACATCTGTGCACAGGGACTGGTGCTCCAAGTCACTTACAACCATGGAAATAGCTTCTCATGAAAGTAGGATTTGTCACACATGTAAAATCAGATATAATTCATATAGACACACAAACCAGGTTGATGGCATTTCCTGTAACACCATGATAACCAACCAACGTCCAGCCTAGAGCTGATCACTCTGCATTGATTTTTGTGGCCAACCAAAAGGTGGCACGAGGGAGAAAGAGACATGGCATTTATGCCACATGGAGAGAAAACCTATTCTTATGCTTCATCTCAAATATCAGCAGCTTCCTAGCATGCTGAGATGGCCACAGCCCAGCAGGCATCTCCAGGCTAAACCAGCAGCAGGGATGGGGTCTCAGTTTAGCCATTTCCATCCTTCTGCATCCCATAGAAGATGAACACTTTGCAAACACCCACATCGCAGAGACCATTGCAAATGGGAATGAAATGGTGAATTGCCAGAGCTCAAAGCCTGGGGAAACACTTGCAGTACCAACAGGATTTGACCTGTAGCAGGGTTCTGAAGAGCCACATTCACCTGCCAAGTAAAGGGTGAGTTTGTGGTTGTGCAGGGAAGGATGGGACCTACACAGAGACACAAACCTGCTGAATTACTGTACTGGAATTATTCACAGCACACGCAGGAAATGCAACAACTACTGGCCTGTCTCTTGGAGTAGTGCCTGAGTAATACCTGAATTTGCTCATATACTCAGCTCCATTTCACTTTCCAGGAGACTTAAAAGCACCAGCTTAAAACAAACCACTTTTAAGCCAGGTTCCAGTGTTTTTCTTTCTTTAAGCTACTGTTTAATGTCACTTATCTGTGATTTTACCTTAGCCCCAGCTCCCTCTGCCCAGCCCAGCCTTCTCAAAGAACAACTCAGTTTAAAAATCAGAAAGCAACTGAAGAGCATTTAGTTGCACTTCACAACCCTAAAGACAAACAGAAACGATGATGTCCAGCCCTATGAGAAAAACCAACCCAAATGTCAGTATTTTCTGGAGCTGATGGGCTCACACACCTCACGGCCCATCTGCAGCCACAGGACCTCACAAAACCAGAGACAACAACAGCAGCAGTCAGGGCATGAACTGGGGTGGTTGAGAGGAGAGTTGTGTTACCATCAGAAAGACCTTTACTCTGCAGGAATCCATGGCTTTAAGGAGTTGTTTGTAGAGAATGCTTTTTTATTTTTTCCTGTGGTCAGGTTTGCTGAGATACATCTGGTTTCTCTTCTGAGCCCCCAGCCTGCACCAGCACCTCCTCTGAGGTACCAATTTAACTTTTTAAATTCTGAACATTACACTTGGGCTTGGAAACTGTGGCATCCCACTGACTTGATCAGAAAGTCCTGTAGCACCCCCACTGTGATTCATATATGGATTTTTAAGTTCATAAAGAGTGAAAAAACAACACAGCCACCTACTCTTGGTCCTACTGTGCTTGCTCTTAACTCCAGGTCATTACCTGTGTTGATATTTACTCTTCCACACATCTACTTGCTGCCCTTGCATCAAGCAAATGCAGAACAGGAAACCAGTTCAGAATCAAGTTTTGACCATTCTAATGAGGCAGGTATTTCCCTCAGCAACTCTCTGAATGCATTTATTCTGATCTTACAGCATCTCTCACTCATGTTTCCTGCACACACCCCTTTCCCTCTCAGCAAGAAGGACCAGGCCACCTCTGCCAGCTCTGGCATCATCCAAGTAACTCCAGACCATGTTAGTCAGTGTTTTGTTATCCAGTCTTCTTCCCCCATCATCTCAAATTCTCTGTGCAATGAAAAATACTCTTCCTTGCTGGAAGCTGGGCCCTGGATTTGCTCTTGGACCACCACAGCTACAATGCACAGAAAAGCTCCACAACTCTGGGCAGGAAAATGGTGACATTCCAGTTCATCCCACTACACTCCCAGAGGTGAAACAACCAAGCAAAACTTAAAAAGAAGCAAAACCAGTAATAACTCCCCAGCACCTTCTAAGGTATCAGAGCATGAGTCATGAGAAAACTACCAAAGCTGGGCAAAGCTTTTAAAAACAAAGACTCTGAAGGCAGTTATGTTGAATCTCAATGCCACTCTGGAAAAAGCAAGAGGCATAACTTAGGATGGTGAGTGATGAAAATGCCTGTTGGAGCCTCCTGCTCTCAGTTGTGTTAGAGAGGATTCACACCAGCCTTGCCCACAGGACCTGACCCACATGAAACACAGTCAGTAACTTCAGCATGGAAATCATTTTTTCCCACGACCTTATCAAAGAGTGGGGAAGCACAACAGGTACTGAGGTTGCAGCACCTGTTTATCACAGCTGAAATAATTTCAGCTTTTATTGTTGTTTGAAAGATAAGCAGAGCTGTTAGCCACATCCCTGGGTCATGAGCTGCAGTGGGCTAAGAATATATTCTTATTAAAAGAAGCCACACTCTTCTCTAATATTCATAATAACAGCACTAACTGCAGAGCAGAATGAAAAAGAATATTTTTAATATACCATGTTAAAAAAAGTCAGTGGAAGAAATGGCAGGTGTTAAAGAATTGAGCTCACAGCCCAGCAGTGACCCACAGACTAGAAGAACAGTTCCCATCAGCAGGGATCTTATGTAAAAGGGATAAAAATTTATTTCCCAAAGACTTGAGACCTACAGAAACCCCATTTAGTTCTGGTCAGAAACAACTCTCAACCAACCCCAGTGCTCAATAACCAGTTATCTAAGTTATTTGAATCCTCATCCAGACTTGGAAGATTTTTAACTACAATGCTCAGAGTATTCTCAAAGGAAAAGGAAAAAAAACAACAAAACAACAAACAACCCAGAAATCTGGATCCAATATCCTTGGCAGCAGCACAATCTTCATTCTAACAACTTCCATACGTCCTGAGCTCTCATGTCTTGAAGCACAGTTGATCTGTGATACATTTCACATGCAAGGGGTTCTAAGTTTTATTACTTGCAATTAAATGTTCCTTCTCCAACCTCACAACAGGGTCTAAACTTTGGGTGCAGGACAGAGCTCAGGAGGGACCTCCCTGACCAAATACAGCTTTAACCACCCACCATGAGCAAATAAATAAACCAGAAATACTGGGAAAGCCCCATCCCTGCCTCCCTCCCCCTCACCTATCTGAAAAAGCATCATCCACCTTATCTCCCTGCTCGGGGCTGCCAGCAATCCCCTCTCTGATGCACCAGGCAGGGGCTCACTGCCAAGCCCATGCTCACCCACACCTTTGGATGCAAGTAACTTGCATCCATCCACTCTCCATCAACCCAGAGACATTATCCTTGAGAAGCCACAGTCCCCCCTGAGCCTGACTGCACTTTTAAACACAGCAAAACACGTGTTGTTCTTGATACCACCTTCCAAAAATTGCACCTTTCAAATAAACTCTGAAAAAAAATCCAACAGTCAGGAACACAGGTGTAAAACATTTTCCCAGTGGCCAGAGAGCTACTGGCCATGTCCTGCCATCTCCAAACCACAGCAAGGAGCTCCTCTTACCTTTCCACTCCATTTGGGTTGAGAAGATGCTGCACAGAACAGAGTCACTTGTGACCATGCACCAAAAAACCACCATGTGGGATGGGAGA